TTATAGGAGTGGGTTGACCTCGTTGTCGCAACTTGGTCTTGTTGTCAGGGCGACTTAGTAGAACGTACCTAGTTCAACGTCGTCTGCCAAAGTAGTTGTCATAATTCCCAGCATCAGAGAGTGTACTTGGTACATTCTTAAACGTTTAGCCGGCATCATAGTTGGCATCATCAGTGAATTTGCCATTCTCCGAACCAAGCTACGAACTAATCAAAGAGACTAGTGAAGTCAATCCTTCTACCAACGTTCTGCCAAAAACGGTTACACTATCACTCATCTTTCTGTCCTGGCCTATCTATCTACTCTTTACCCTCTAATCCCATTGCCGCCCTACAAAACTTCTCACATTTTTACATCCCACTCGTTAAAATATTTGCCCTTTTGTGGCAAATCTAGTGTGGACTCATCACACCTGCTATTCACCCCGACTACCTCTCTTTCGATCAACTAATCCGACTCAGGCCTATAATTCGGATCCCTTCATAGTCCCGTAGATCCGTTACTTATCTTTCTGGTTGACCGATTTCACTCGCTTCCAGTCCCAGTGTGCATTTTACTCCAGGTGGTATTTCTCAAGGCCCTAGAAGCACGTACACCGCCGCCTCACCGAGGAGAGCGCCTAGGCTCCGATTGTCATGCTTGCAGATCTCAGGCATTGGCTTCACGGGTCGTCTCCTTGATTAAACCCGTGTAACCTGAGCAAACTGTGGACGCTTATCTCTGGTCGCATGCGGCATCTAAAGTGGATTTCTAGTGCATTTTAGCCATAACGTCAATTTTCCCAGACGGTTTGCTTATCCGTCTGTCCAGCTCCCTGACTGCCAAGCCCCCAAAGTTGTACTGGTTTATTCGAAATCGACATCACCCACTGACAACTCTTTCGTTTGATTGCACAAAGCTCCCTTCCCCCCACTTTCTTCATCGTTATCCCTTTTCCTTCGGTTAGCGATACATCCTTGTTACAGGCGTCTTCTTTTTGCCGATATTGCTCTATTGTTTTTCCTGAGTTTGCTTAAGCAGTAGGCAAAGGTATGAGGTGTATTCACCCTATTTCGTCTAAGGTGATGAAGGACTGGTAGTAGAATTTTCCCAATATGATATGACTAGAGCTGAGGTTTCCATTGAATTTTACATAGCCTTGCTTTACAAAAGTTGTTCTCATCCAAAGTGGACTGCAGTTTCGACCTCGCATCGGTCATATGAACACCCTCAGCGGGAGTCGAACTGCGACAGTGCAGGATGGGAGCTTGACACGCTAGCCACTCGCTAACTTTACCTTCCTCCAATCTCCTGTTCATTAGATTTTTCTCCCCAAGGATGTCATTGGCCTTCCTAAACTTCTGCTTCCTTTTGCTGTCACCATATTGGGTCCTTCTTTCTGTTGCCCTCCAATTGATCTCGTTTCGAGTCCGTGCGATGTGTTCCGCTAGTTCTGATCTTTTGGTATCCATTTTCCTGCAGAGCCGTTGATGTTCCTTGATTCGTATACTAATTTTTCTCCATTTTTCGCCAATATATTTCTGTCTGCAGGCGCTGCATGATATAAAGTAAACTCTTGAACAATCCAATTTGTCTACCCTTTCATGTTGCGTTGGTACACTTGTGAAAATTGTTGATTTCTCTTTCATGACCACCTGAATATTCCATTTACTCAATATTGGCCGTAATTTTTGAGTTAGTTCGCAGAGAGGTAGGCATATTCACTTTTGTGAGTCTTTAATCGTCCTTACTGTTCTTTCATAGTCCCCGTTCTGCCATCAGTTTTTCACGACCCTTATGTTTCTTTGTATCATTTCGTTTGGGTAGCCAAAGCAGAGGAATCTCCTAGTCGATTTGTCCAACTCCTCGTCCCCGAATTCCTCATCCGTTAAACGTAGGCTTCGGATGAGCATGCTCCTCATTATTCCTATCTTTAGTCTGTAATTGTGATGGGACCGGAAATTAAGTATTATCCCAGCATAAGACTTCTTTCTGAACAATTTCTTTCTGATCGTCCCACTAGAGTTAAACACTTCAACATCCAGGAACGGTAACTGCTCACCTTCCTCTACTTCCGTCGTGAATTTAATTTTTCATCAATCTGGTTTATAAGCTTCCGAAAATCTTCCCGTTTTTCTCTTTCCAGCAGGGGCGTTAGCGCATTTTTTTCAGAAATATTTGTATACATGGGTTCCGTATCTAGACTTACCAATAAGTCCGTGTTTTTTATTTTTTGAGAAGATTCATATGAATGCTTCACCGTGTTTGATAGTCTCTCATTTAATTTCTTAACTTTCAAACATATAAACTTTGCCAATTTGTGTGTTGCCCCATACTTGTTATTGATTATCAGCCTTAGTGGCTTGCCTGCTTAGTGTTTCTTTGGTTATCCGTATGCTATTGGTGCTCGTGCATCCTTTCTTATAATTGAATTTCTTGTTCATGCGTAAAATATCCCGTTACTATGCTTATCTTTCAGCATATCACTTAAGATTCCATTGATCTTCATAGTTGGGTAATTGTTCAGTATATGATATGTAGTCCTGTCTCATAGAATATGTCCCTTAAGGTCACAGAACTTAGAAGTGATACGATAACGTTTACAACAGTTTAAAAAAGTCAGGTGGGAAGATTGATTTATAATTGCCTTCTTTGTCCGGCTGTATTCACTGCATTGTTTGGCAATTTTACTACCATAGTTTAATTGAAGGTATGAAGACCAAGATGGTGTGGCTTCTGATATGGTCGCAGTCTATTTTCGATTTATAGAAGTAGCTTGGCCTCGTTGTCGCAACTTGGTCTTGTTGTCAGAGATACTTAGTAGAACGCACCTAGTCCGAAGTCGTCTACCATAGTAGTTGTCATAATTCCTAGCATCAGACAGTGGACTTGGTACATTCTCAAGCGTTTCGCCGGCATCATAGTCGGCAGCATCAGTGATTTTTAAATTCTCCGCACCAAGCTACGAACTCGTCAAACAGTTAAGTTCCCATCTGACTTTTTTCAACTGTTTTAAATGTTATGGTATCACTCCTAAGTTCTGTTATCTTAAGGATGTAAAATTCTGGGACGAGGAGCTGGACAAATTGACATGGAAATTCCTCGGCAATGGCTACCCAAGCGAAATTATATAAAGAAATATGCGGGCCGTGAAAATCCGATTGCAGAATGTGGCATTTCAATCAGAGCCTAGGCGCTCTGCTCAGTGAGGGCCTTGAGAAATACCACCTTGAGTAAAATGCACACTGGGACTGGAAGCGAGTGAAATCGGTCAACCAGAAAGATAAGTAACGGATCTACGGGACTATGAAGGGATCCGGATTATAGGCCTGAGTCGGGTTAGTTGATCGAAAGAGAGGCAGTCGAGGTGAATAGCAGGTGTGATGAGTCCACACTAGATTTGCCACAAAAGGGCACACATTTTAACGAGTGGGATGTAAAAATGTGAGAAGTTTTGTAGGGCGGCAATGGGATTAGAGGGTAAAGAGTAGATAGATAGGCCAGGACAGAAAGATGAGTGATAGTGTAACCGTTTTTGGCAGAACGTTGGTAGAAGGATTGACTTCACTAGTCTCTTTGATTAGTTCGTAGCTTGGTTCGGAGAATGGCAAATTCACTGATGATGCCAACTATGATGCCGGCTAAACGTTTAAGAATGTACCAAGTACACTCTGATGCTGGGAATTATGGCAACTACTATGGCAGACAACTTCGCAATAGGTGCCTTCAATAAGTCGCACTAAAAATAAGACCAAGTTGCGATAACGAGGTAAACCAACTTATATAGAAAATACAACTTTGCTTAATTGGAGATATGAAGACCAAGTTGGTCAGGTCTTTTGTGTGGTCGTAGTCTCCTTTCGTTTTATAGAGGTTATTTGATGTTGTTTTCGCAACTTGGTCATATTGGTAAGAAGACCTAGAGGAACGCACCTAGTCCGGAGTCTATTGTATTCACGATAATTTCCAAAATCGGACCTTGGACGTAGTACATTCCAAGAACTTTCACGGATATCGTAGTCGGCATCGTCAGTGAGTCTTGCCAGTCATAGC